TCTGTTCAAAATGCGGGTGTATTGATTTTGGACAATAGCATAAAACCCACATAGCAGTATGCACCGATACACACAGGGGACCAACTAGCTGGAAAGCAGCTCTGCCAGCAGAGACCTTTGGGGTCCTTGGTGGACTACGAGCAGACCATGAGTCAGCAATGCACCCTCGCTGCAAGGAAGGCCAACAGTATCCGAGACTACGTTAGGAAGAGTGTTTCCAGTTTGTCCAGGGAGGTGCACATTCCCCTCTGCTCAGCACTGGTGAGGTCACCCCTGCAGGACTGTGTCCAGTTCTGGTCCTCCTGTACAAGGAAGGGTCATGGTGTGACCCAGGTGGCAATTAAACGCCGCACAGCCCCCCATCCCCGGGAGATGGGAAAGGGAAGGAGACTTGTGGGTTGAGATAAGAACGATTTAATAACAAAAATACTATAAAATTAAAAGTAATAATGATAAAATAGTAATATATGAATATATATGTAATTATGATAATATATACAAACGAGTGATGCACAGTGTAATTACTTACCACCTGATGGCAAACGCTCGTCCTGCCCCACCAAGTGATCCTGAAACAGATAAGTCCCAACACTGCAATTCCAGATGAGCGAGAGGCCCAAAAAGAGGGAGAGCGAGAACTCTGAGAGAGTCCCTCCAGAAGAAAGAGAGATTCCAACTTCCCAGCCAACCCTCATCGATGTACTGAGCCTAACGCTGCAGGATCTGGAATACCCCGTTGGGCAGTTTGGCCCTCAGTCCTAAGTCCAAGTTCAAATCCTAAGGGCAGTCGTGGTCCCTTTGTCCCAGCCGTGCTCCCCCCCAGCCTGTTGTGCTCCTGCACACGGGCAAGATCACGGGAAGCTGGAAAGTCCTTGAGGTCTCAGCACCAACCGTAAACATCAGTGCGCTGTCAGCGTTCTTCTCAGAATGAATCCCAGACTAAATAAAAATCACAGAGCTCTTCTAGCTGCTAAAAAGAAAAACTAACTCTGTCCCAGCTGAAACCAGGATGGGAAGACATGGGCATATTGGAGTGGATCGAGCAAAGAGCCATGAAGATGATTAGGGATTGGCGCATCCCTCATATGAGGAGAGGCTGAGAGAGCTGGAACTGTTTAGCCTGGAGAAGAGAAGGCTCAGAGTGATCTTAGGGCTGTGTACAAGTACTTGGTGGGAGGAAGTGCAGAATGTGGAGCCAGATTCTTCTCGGTGGTATTAAGTGAAAGGACAAGAGGCAACAGGTACAAATTAGAACACATGAAATTCCATCTGAACACAAGAAAAAGCCGTTTTACTGTGAGGATGGTCATACACTGGAACAGGTTGCACAGAGAGGTCGTGGCCTGTCTGTCCTTGGAGACATTCAGAACCCAGCAGGACACAGTTGTGGGCAACTTGCTCTAGCTGTTTGGGCTAGATGATCTCAAGAGGTCCCTTCCAGCCTCAGCCATTCTGTGATTCTGTGGTAATGATGATTTTGCCTGTTAATCTTCCTCTAAGAATTTCTGGCAAGAGTCGTGGGAAGGGAACATATCTTTTATTAGATGAGCTGTTACAGTTGGAATAAACAGTGAGTTTTGGGCAGGCAGCTTGCTTTGCATGAAGGTGGATTGCACTGCTTGAGTCTGTAAGCCTGAAGCTGTGTAAGTCCTGTTGAGGAAGAAATCCAACCTTTTGTAAATCTGTGTCGTCCCTGGGAATGATAGGATGCTGTAGGTGAGTATATAAAATGATCAGAGAAGACAGAAATGATCAAGGTTGGTGTTCCGAGGAAGAGGTTTAAAGCTTCCAGTGCTATGGGGAAAGCCTCAGATTTCCATAATGCGTCGTTCCTGGTTTCGTGGTTTTTTTTTTTGTGGTGCGGTGTAATACAGGTACCGTAAGACCTGCAGGTAGTGTCTTCCCTGTAACTTGTGCTTTTGTGTCCAGCTGACTGGACCATTTCTTGTCTGGATATATGGAGCGCTGACACAAATGGATTGTTGTGTACACACCCTGTACTGTCATCTGTCTTTAGGTGAAATAATACATTATTTGAATTGCTTTAAAACTGAAAAGATCTATCCTGAAATTATCTTAGTTTTCTACTGGGAGCCAGTATATAGACAGAAGGTACAATCATAGACTGTCCTGAGTTGGAAGGGACTCACAAGGGTCATTGACTCCAACTCTTGACTCCACACTAGGCAACCTAAAAGTTAAACCAGATACCTGTGAGCGTTATCCAAACACTCCTTGAACAGTGAAAGGCTTGGGGCCATGACTGCTTCCCTGGGACGCTTGTTACAGTGCTTGACCACCCTCTCATTGAAGAACTTTTTCGTAATACTACTCAATCTGAGCTTCCCCCTTGCCACAGCCTTAAGCCATTCCCTTAGGTCCTGTCACTGGCCACCAGGGAGAAGAGATCAGCACCTGCCTCTCCTCTGCCCCTCGTCAGGAGGCTGTAGATAGCAATGAGGTCACCCCTCAGTCTCTGCTTCTACAAGCTGAGCAAAGCTAGTACCCTCAACTGCTCCTTGTAAATCATGTAAACCTCTGGAGTCCCCAACACAAGAAGGACACGGAGCCGCTGGAGCGGGTCCAGAGGAGGCCACCAAGATGATCTGAGGGCTGGAGCACCTCTGCTATGGAGACAGGCTGAGAGAGTTGGGGCTGTTCAGCCTGGAGAAGAGAAGGCTCCAGGGTGATCTTATTGCAGCCTTCCAGTACTTAAAGGAGGCCTACAGGAAAGCTGGAGAGGGGCTTTTTCCAAGGATGTGTAGTGACAGGACAAGGGGCAATGGCTTTAAACTGAAAGAGGGCAGATTGAGATTGGATATAAGGAAGAAACTTTTCACTCTGAGGGTGGTGAGGCACTGGAACAGGTTGCCCGGAGAAGCTGTGGCTGCCCCATCCCTGGAAGTGTTCAAGTCCAAGTTGGATGAGGCTTTGGGCAACCTGGTGTAGTGGAGGGTGTCCCTGCCCATGGCAGGGGGGTTGGAACTGGATGATCTTTGAGGTCCCTTTCTCAACCATCACTGTTGCCCTCCTTTGGACACATTTTAGTATTTTCGTATCCTTCTGGTATTGCGGAGCCCAAAACTGTGCACAGTACTCAAGGTGACACTATTTCTGCTTGAATTTATCTTCACAAGAAGTTGTCAATTAAAAAAGTGCTAGTCCAGTCAGAAAGGCTGGTGCTAACCAGTGGTGTTTATTTAGTTCCAGTTTTGTATTGGTCTGGAATATCTGTATTTCAGAAGGAAAATCAGAGTTCTTCTGATCTAGGAGATAGAGCTGAATTCAATTAAAAATGAAGTAGTGCTACCTCTGACACCTCAGGGGCTGCCCTGTGGACTCTTGTACCCATTATATGTTTTTCTGGCTGGACTTCTTCAGTATATTTTTTCCTTTCTTATATTTATTCTTAATTGTCTCTGCCTGAGACAATTTTTAATTGCATTTAAGTACATTTTTAATGGCACTTCAAAATTTAATTTAATTAAGCTTGCTGAAACTGTGCGAAGAAATGTCACTTAGGCATGATGTCTTCAAGTGGCACCTCCAAATGTTCTTGATGTCTTCATAGAAAAGGTACCTAAGTTTGATGGCAGTTCTGGTCCCCAAAATAAGCTCTGTTTTTGAAGCAGAGCTCCTGCTTATTAAAATGAGACATGTACTTAGTAATTGTGTCATATTTTTTAGAGATGTCCTTATCAAGTTTTGTTCCCGCAGACCCCCTGACTTGGC